CCCCCTGCCCAGGCAGGGTCACCCGGAGCAGGGGACACAGAAACACATCCAGGTGGCACTGGAATGGCTCCAAACAGGGAGACTCCACGCCCTCCCTGGGCAGCTGTGCCGGGGCTCTGCCACCCTCCATGGGAAGAAGTTCTTCATGTTGAGGTGGAATTAAATATGTTCTGGTTCATGGCTACTGCTCCCTGTCCTGTCACAGAGAAGAGTCTGGCACCTCCTCTGACACACCCTGCAGATATTTGTATGGATGCATTTTATTTGTCCATGTTTGTATGGATGTATTTTATTTGTATGGATGCAATTTATTTGTCCATATTTGTATGGATGTATTTTATTTGTACATGTTTGCATGTTGAGATGAAGATGAGTTTTCATTCATCCCTTGCTGAATGAGCCTAGGCCTGGTTTGAGCTGGTCTCTGGTGTTATGAAGAGTGAATGTTTGCCAGAGGTGCTTCGAGTGATTTGTGATGGATTTGTCTTGGACAAACAAGGTTTATCTCCTTGTGTGAGAAAATGAGGGAAAATGCATCACACAGACCTTGTAACAGTGCTGTGACTCGTGTCCCCTCTCAGTCCTGCACCCAGTGCTGGGAGCAGCACCAAGGAGTGGTTTTACAGGAAAAAAAGTGATGAAGCAGCCCATTTAGCAAAAAGCCATCCATAAAACACTGCCTCTCCACAGCTAATAGTGCTGTTTGTTATGTCAGAAGCAGCTAATAATGGCAATATTTGTTTGAGTCATAAACCCTCTTTTGCTGGTGCATGATAATGGAGTGTGTTACATGTTCAATTAACCAAACTAATCAAATGTGCTGAGGAGAAATACAATGGGAACAAAGACCCGATCCATGCAACTCTTTGTTGGGCACAGTAGTTGTTTTTCATGTGATTTCCTGCAGTCCTTTCAGCAGACTTGCCAGTGATGTGCTAACACATCCTTGACCAGTGAAGGCAGGGTTGCGGCTGGATAAGGCAGATTTGTGGCTGGATGAGTAAAAATGTTGCCCTGGGATAACTTAAAGCGTTTTCACCCTCTGCTGTCACTTGGAAGTGCCATGCAGGGACAGACTCATCTCCTCCTTGGCAGTGCATGGACCTTGGGACAGACGAGTTAAACGAGTCAAATTGACTTGTGTAGCACAAAACCTGAGCTGTGAGGAGGCAGAGATGATGTCCAAACATCACAGCATGAGAAAAACTCCCCAGGGTGGAGGATGGTGCCCAGATCCTCTGCTCCCAATGCAGTAGGCACAGCCTTGTCCCCATGGACTGTCCCTGCCTCCTCTGGGCTGCAGGAGCTCCAGCAGCAGATTGGTGATGGGCGCCCAGGACCTGCCCCGAGCCCAAGGCACCCGAGATCCAGGCACAGCAGGCTCTGGAAGCAGGAGAGATGGTGGCAACACAGCCTGAATTAATTCTGCTGTGGAGCAGCTCCAAGAGACCTTTACATGCAGAAATACTCTGATTTTCTGTGGGCAGAGGTGAGCAGATTTGCCAGGGTGACACAGAGCTGGTGGTGCCAGTTCCACAGATAAAATCAGCCTCAGGTCTAGGAAAGGACCACACCACACCAAGAGAGGCAAGGTCACGTTTCTGCAGGTTTTCTGTGAATGAAGTGATCAGCAGCCCATGCTGGGAACTGAAGTGGTGCAGGAGACTCTTGGGCAGGCCTGGGGAAGCACAGCTTTGTCTCTCCTGATCCTGAACATCTAAGGAACCTCCAGAATTGACCGGCATGCCAGAAGGGAGTGTCAGTAGAAGTGGATTTACTATGCAGAGACAAATTTTATGGGTCTGCAAATAGGAAAAGGTTTAAAACCACTGTTTTAGATCAAAAGTGCTTCTCAAGAAGTTGCTTTTTTCTGCCACTAAGTGGCTCCAGATGTTGAAATATTCACCAAAATTCCTTTTCTCTTTTGTTTTTTTATTTTTTCTTGACACACTGAGTTTCACAAGGTCAATCTGCAGCAAAGAAGTCCCAGTGCTTTCCCCCCTCTGAAAAGCACCCAATTGCAACATTAAATATTAACTGAGAGAAGAGCTGGATTTGTAGCTTCAGCCTATTTTGATTTTTTAAATTGCTTTCTTTTTCCTAGAGCATGAGTTTCCTCCACACTTGGGGGCCATGGAGGTTTCTCTGTGTCTTGGGCATGGTGAGAGGGACTCCTGAGCTTTGGGAGAGGAGCTCCAGTTCTGGATTTCCTCTCAGTGAGGGACAGGGCTCACCAGAACGCTGGTGGCCCTCATGGGTACCCCAGGTTCAGCCTTTACCCTGTCCCCCCGTGTCTCTGTGCTGCTGCAGAGTTTCCCCATGCCTTTGGCCAGGGGGTGACCCCAGGCTGGTGTGGGTGACAGACCCCAAGGCTGCTGGAATTGCCCCCTCCATCCCCATGCACAGCGGGAGGAACAGATGGCCACCATGCAGAAATGCTCCTTCTCTCTGGGCTGGGGATGCAGCCAGCACAGCTGCACTGGGCCTTTCTGTGCCTGCATGGCTGCATCCTTCTGCAGCACTTGGAAACAGACCAAAACTCCACAAACCTCCGCAGCAGCATTCACGTGTCAGGCATTGCCATGTACCGGGGCTGGGGATGTTCCTCTGGGCCCTGGGGAAAGCCTGCTTGGTCAGTGCTTCAAAACCTTTTCACTGCAGAAAGTCCCTCCAAAAGTCAGATGTTTCCTTCCTGCTCCACTGAAGCACAGCCCTCCCAGCTGCCGCCAAGTTACTTCATTTTTCCTGCCCCCAGAATGAAGCTGAAAGCACCACTTCCATGAATCATTTCTTTTGTCAAAAACTGGCATTTTTCCTCTTTATTTGGGACATGTGCCCCAGGTCTGTTCCAAACAGCTCAGGCTTCTCGGGTTTGCTCTCCAGTGCACGGAGATGTCTGGGGGGCTTGGCTATGGGGGCAGCCACCCCTGCCAGGCTGAAATCCCCTGTGCCAGGCTGAAACCCCTCTGCGAGGCTGAAACCATCCTGCAAGGCTGAAACCCCCTGTGCCATGCTGAAACCACCTCTGCCAGGCTGCAGCCCCCTCTGCAAGGCTGAAGCCCCTTCTGCAAAGCTGCAGCCCCCTCTGCCAGGCAGGTTTCCCACAGCTGCCTGCCAGGCTCCCTGCAGGGACTGGGGAAGAACAGACACAATGCACATCCATGGCCTGGAGGCAAAGCCCATGGAACTCATGCAGGTCTGCAAGGCAGAGGTGCAGAGCTGTCCCAAAGCCTTTTTGGAAATTATCTCACATCCCTCAGGTCCCCAGCTGGCTTTGAGCCCCAGCACCCCGTTCCTGGCTGCCCTGGGCCTCAGTGCTGGGGCTGGGGGCCACAGCTGGAGTGTGTTCCCTTGCCCTTCCCATCCCTGCTGAGCACAGGGCAGAGGGGGAGGCAGAAAGGAAGGGGAGGGCCTGCTATGAAATACTTGTCTGCCAAGCCCTTGTGTTTCCCAGAGAGCAGAAGATCTTTTCATTTGTTCTGTTTGCCTGTTTGTGCCTTTAGTATCTGCCAGGCTCTCTGGAGAGCAGCAGTAAATGTGCTGCCTGGGGCAAGCTTTGATGGACAAATCCTTTTTCTCTCTCTCTGCTGTGCCATTAGAAGCCCCCAGTCTGTGTCTGTTCCTGAAAGGCAGCGCTGCCCAGCTCTGGGTGATGGATCAGAGCCCCATGGTGGGAGTGTGGGCAGGGCTGGGCCTTGCAGCCCCACTGCCATCAGTCAGACAGGGCTGGGGAGCCACAGGCAGGACAGAGCTGCTGCACTGGGCATCTGCCAGTGCCCAGCCTGCCAGGACTGACACAGGAGCAGCCCTGGTCCCCTCCCTGCACGTCCAGAGCCGTGAGCTGGGAAGGGATTCCTGGGGAACCTTCCAGGGCTGTGCCTGGACCTTCACCTGTGGGCTCTTAGGGTGGGAGGAGGTCCCTGGCAGGGAATGGATGGGTGAGGGTTTGGGGGAGCAGGGCACAGGGAGCTCTGGGGGCAGGGAATGGATGGGTTAGGGTTAGGGTTAGGGTTAGGGTTAGGGTTAGGGTTTGGGTTAGGGTTAGGGTTAGGGTTTGGGTTAGGGTTTGGGTTAGGGTTAGGGTTTGGGTTAGGGTTAGGGTTAGCATTAGGGGTAGGGTTAGGGTTAGGGTTAGGGTTTGGGGGAGCAGGGCACAGGAGGGTTAGGGTTAGGGTTAGGGTTAGGGTTAGGGTTAGGGTTAGGGTTAGGGTTAGGGTTAGGGTTTGGGTTAGGGTTTGGGGGAGCAGGGCACAGGAGCTCTGGGGGCTCTGAAGCCCAGCCTGGGTTCAAGCCCAGTCTGTTGTAATCTGCACCAGCTGCCACAGAGCAAACCAGCACAGGTACCCACCGCACCCAGCAGATGCCTTAATCCTCTTTTCCTAAGGAGCTTAGAGCCTTTTTAGATCCCAAAACTGTTTTCCTTTATGAGGCAGCACAAGCCCTGCTTCTCTTTGAAACCAGGAGAAAATACACCATGAAATGTGGAGTGGAAGCGAGATCAGCTTTGAGTTTCCTGAGCTGGACAGGTCAAGTGGCTTGGGCCAAATTCTGCTTTTTCCCAGTAAACTCCAGCCTCTGGAGCCATCAGGTCAGTGTAGTCATTGGGTTCTTTATTTCTGCTGTAAAGGATATGAACCAGCCAGGGAAACACAAATTATTCTTTTGAGAGTCTTCTCTTTTAATACAGAGAACCAAAGGAATGGGGAATTCAGTTAAAAGAAAATAGAGAAAATGTTTAATTTTAGGTGTTAAGCAATAACAGTAACTTCAAAACATTTGCAGAGAAGTTATTTTCCTGTTGAAAAGCTGTTTTCCTCAATCACCCATACTTTGTGTAATTCCAACCAGCTTTCAGGCAGAAAACAAACCAGGAGAAAAAATATTTTCCAGCTGGAATAATTGTTTTTATTGTTTATTCTGCGTTTTCCCAACTCCCACAGGAACACAGAGACGCTCCAAGGCTTTCTTGGGCTTTCTGCACCTTCTGGGCCTGGGCCCAGGTGTGGGCTGGGGCTGCAGCAGGTGAGGATGGGGTGCCTGGTACTGCCAGCATCTCAATATTGCCCCTGGCAGCCCTGGCAGAGCTCCCTGTGCTGGGAGGGGGCTTAGGAAAGGTGCAGAACACAGAGGGAAGGAAGCACAGGCACTTTGGGGCTGTCCATGGCAAGGGACAGGGCTGAATGTGCCGCAAAGGCAGCCGAGCTTCTGCTACAGCTCAGCATGGGGAAACCATCCCTCAGCAGGTTGAGATCATAAAGAAACAATTTTTTCTTCCCTGTGCTATCAAACTGTGGAAGTCCCAGCTGCTGGATGTTGTGGGGGACAAAGCCAAAAAGAAGAGGAAAAAGGAAAGGGTGAATTGATGAGAGACAGCTTGACTGGGAGCTGCTGATGCTCGGGTGCTCCTGCACCAGTCCTGCCGTGCAGGCTCTGTGTCCCGAGGCAGCTCCTGCGGATTACTCTGGGAAATGACTGCAGGGAAATGGATTTGTCTTCTTCCCTCCAATGGCAATTCCTGCATTGTTTAACTGAAATCATGCTCCAGGTTAAATCCCAGATTTTGGGAAAGCATTTCTAAACCTCTTCCAGCTATTCCTTATCTGACAATAGCTCAATGAAGAGGTTTATCCTCAGAGAAGAGCTCAGAAAAATCCTATATTCACAAAGGGTCTTTCTGCCCTTGGGGAGCTCAGGAATTTCTCCTCTGAAAAATGTACCAGCACATCCTTGGAGCAGACTGTCAGCCTGGCTCCCTGCAAATCCTGAGCTGGAATCAGTCTACACTGAATGTGGTGCTGCCATGCAATCTCTGGAGTGCGTGTGTGTTTCTGTCGTGTTCCCTATATGAATATATGGAGCTACTCAACTGGAAAAGAGACATGAAAGTAAAGACTGTGGCTCTGGATAAAACACTTGACACCAAACTCTCAAGGGTTCCTGGAGGATTAGGACAGAGACACTGGCACAGAATGTGAAGCCCTAGTAAACTCTTTCCTTCTTTTATTTCCTATTTTTCTGTGACACTAAAGAAAGGCAAAACCAAACCACAAACTAACCTTAAGAAGTGAGAAAACAAAAGAATTTTGGCTGGGTAAAAAAGGGTTTGTGCCAAGCCCTGTCCCAGGGTGATTCCTGTGGGGTGGTTCTGTTTGGAGATGCTAAAGCTGGTCCAGCCCTGCAGGATGGTGAGGGAGCCCTGGGGTAGAAGAGTTGTGAATATAAAGTGTATTTTATCCTCTTGATGCTTAAATCAAAGCATCCCGTGGTGTAAAGCCATCTTGTCAGTGTGTCCCTGGTAGCTGGCACTGGCAGGGACCTCACCCAGCCCAAAGCCCTGCCCAGGCAGGGTCACCAGAGCAGGGGACACAGAAACACATCCAGGTGGCACTGGAATGGCTCCAAACAGGGAGACTCTACGCCCTCGCTGGGCAGCTGTGCCGGGGCTCTGCCACCCTCCATGGGAAGAAGTTCTTCATGTTGAGGTGGAATTAAATATGTTCTGGTTCATGGCCATCACTCCTTGACCTTCACCTCTGCCTGCTGGGAAAAGCCTGGAGCTGGCTTGGCCAGACCTCAGCTCCTGAATTCCTCTTGGCCCTGGCCTGGAATGGCCCTGGCCTGCAGCTCTGCCCTGGGAGAGGAAAGGGGTGAGATGTGATCTTCAGGAGGCGTGTGCAGGAAAAGGATGAAATGGAGGCTTTCTCCATCCAATCTGTACCCCAGCCTCGTGGGCACTCACACCTGATCTCCTCTCTCGGGGCACAAGCAGGGTTTCCAGCAGCTGTGGGTGTCTCCTGCTGAATGCCAGCCCCAGGGTGACAGGGATGGACACACACTGTCCCAGGACACAGAGGCAGACAGGATGTGCATTTTGTGATGTCAGGAGTGTCTGGGATTCCTGGGGGTGGCTGTGGAAGGGACTGACATGTGGCAGCTGGGAAAGGTTAAATGAGGATTCCTGCACTGAGGTTCCCCTTCCTCCTGGGCCTTTCTGCATCAGTGTCACCTTCAAACAACAGCCACCTCTGGCTTTCCAGTGCTGTGTGTGGACAGATCTACGGTGGCCTTGTGTCTTTTAACAGTTAAAGAAAAAAGAAGGAAACATGAAAGCTTCTTTCCCACCTTGAAACCTGCCCAAACCTGCCTGCTCAGAGCAGAGGCAGCATCTCTGCTGTCCAGGGGGAAGGCTGGCTGCCTGCCAGAGCGCTGCCTGCAGGACTGGGAGCTGATCCCAGGCCATGGAGAGCAGGGAGTCTGCCTGCACACATCACTGAGAGCTGATCCTGGGCCATAGAGAGCAGGGATCTGCCTGCTCACATCACTGGGAGCTGATCCTGGGCCATAGAGAGCAGGGATCTGCCTGCTCACATCACTGGGAGCTGATCCCAGGCCATGGAGAGCAGGGATCTGCCTGCTCACATCACTGGGAGCTGATCCTGGGCCATAGAGAGCAGGGATCTGCCTGCTCACATCACTGGGAGCTGATCCCAGGCCATGGAGAGCAGGGAGTCTGCCTGCACACATCACTGGGAGCTGATCCCAGGCTATGGAGAGCAGGGATCTGCCTGCTCACATCACTGGGAGCTGGCCCAGACCCAGCACCTCCCAACAATGGATGAATCTCTTACAAAAACATCTCTGCTCTGACCTGTTTACTGGGTACAGGGGAATTACCAACGCTGGGTTTGCAACTCTTGGACTGAATATCTGCCCTCTCTTCTCAAACTTCCCTTGTAACTACAGTCTTCTTCATGGGGTTCTTTAGGATATCTGGAGAGACTTCCATAAATTCTTGCTACCTACAAAATAAAGGACAAAAGCCCCCTATGATATTAGTGAAATTTTAGTTTGAATAACTCAAATGTATTTAGGCTTTTGTTTAAAACATATTCCTCAAAACGTAGATGTGACAGTGTCCTTCAGTGCAAAGGATCTCTCTGGGTTTCTGGGGAAGAAAATGAACGTGGGCTTTGCAGGGTTTCTGACCCAGGAAGCCGTGTGCGCCAAAGCTCTGGGGTTGTTTTCCCAGTGCTTTAGGAGTGACCTTGATCGAGACATCTCATCTCTGCGATCTCCCCCGGGTGGGAACAGCATGTTCATCCTCCCCCAGGGCAGGGCACTGATGGTCGAGATCAGCTCTCAAGCAGGAAATGCTCTCTGGAATGTCAGCATTACTGCTTTGCCCTCTTTTCCTGGTTTTAAATTCATTTTCTGTCAAATGACACACTTGAAGGGAGGCAGAGTCAGTACAAGGGCATTTGGCTGCTGGGTTCAGTCCAGCCCCCCACTCACTGTGGTGCTGCTGACCAAGCCCACAAGGAGAAGCCTCCAAAAGCCATGCAAACCTGAGTTTAGCTGGGAAGCAATGCAAGCCAAACCTCCAGGTGCTGTGCAGCCATTCTGAGGGGTCTCAACAGGCTGCAGATGAGCAGATTGGAACACTCTGAAATCCCACAGAGGCACACGCAGGGTCCTGCACCCGGGCAGGATCAGCCCAGGCACAGCCCGGGCTGGGGGTGACCTGCAGGAGCAGCTCTGTGCGCAAGGACTGGGCTCCTGGGGGACAGGGAGCTGTCCTGGCCAGCCGAGGGTCCTGGGGCACGAACAGCAGCGGGATCGTGGCTGCAGGGGCAGGACGGAGCTGTCCTGTGCTCCGGCAGCCCTGGCGCTCCCTCCCCTGCCTGCAGGGCAGTGTCCAGCTCCGGGCTCCTCGGGGCAGGAGGGTCCTGGGGCTGCAGAGCTGGGAAGGGCCTGGAGCTCCTCTGTGCCCAGCAAAGGGAGCTGGGAAGGGCCTGGAGCTCCTCCGTGCCCAGCAAAGGCTGCAGAGCTGGGGCTGCGAGCCTCGAGAGCAGACAGCTGGGAGGGGACCTTCTCAAAGCACAGACACAGCTGGGAGGGGGTGTCAGAGCCCAGGCGCTGCTCATGGGGCCCAGCAACAGCACAAGGGCACCGGGCAGGGACTCACCCCGGCAATTCCCCCTGCACAGGAGGAAGAACTTCTTCCCTGGGCATTGGCTGAGCCCTGAACAGATTGTCCAGAGAGGGTGTGGAGGTTCCTCACCGGGGAATTCCAGCGGACACATCCCGGATACCTGAGCGGGGCGGCGCTCCCAGGGGCGCTCCGGCCCGGCCGTGGGTTCTGCGAGCAGCCCGTGCCGGGAGGGGACCCTGCAGAGCCGGGAGGGGACTCTGCATAGCCGGGAAGGGACCCTGGAGAGCCCGGAGCCGGGGGTGCAGAGCCGGGAGGGGACCGTGCCGGGAGGGGACCCTGCAGAGGGCCCACAGTATAATTGAGAAGTCAATATTTATCCGCTCGTAGAAATTGTATTCTTTTTCAAAGGAGCTGTACCCCCTTTAAATAGCCCTTAATTCGCTTCATTAGGGTTCAAGGGTTTTCCTTTGAGAAGAATTAAGAGTAAACTTAGATTCGATTCTGCGGAGCCCGGAACGGCCCCGAGCCCGGAGCGGTCCCTGCTGTCCCCGGAGCGGTCCCTGCACAGCCCGGAGCGGTCCCCGCTGTCCCCGGAGCGGTCCCTGCTGACCCCGGAGCGGTCCCTGCACAGCCCGGAGCGGTCCCGGCTGTCCCCGGATCGGTGCCGGGGCCGGAGCCGCTCCCGGGCCGGCAGAGGGCACTCGGAGCGCGGCCAGCCCCGGGGACAGCCCGCAGCCCTGCCCGTCGCCCCGCCATGCTCAGCCCGGCACTGCCCGGATCCCTCCTGGGTCATTTTGCTCCCTCCTGGCTCACTTCAGCCGCGGACAGCCCCGCTGTGCCATCCTGTGCAGCCGAGCACAGACCTGGGGCAAGAACGGACAGCACACCACGGCCAGAAATGTGCTGCCACCGAGTGTTTTAAGCCATGAGGGAGGGTTGGCCTGGATTCACCTATTTGTTAGAAAAAGCTGCTTTTTGTTTGTTTTTATGCCAGCTCTCTGCCCTTAGCTTCTCTCCACAGTATAGCTGCTGAGTCTGTGAATTTTTGGCAGTAAAATCCAGTTCCACTCTGTCTGCAG